TATAATTTATGTCTCCCTGATAGATATTATGAGAAATTTGTTTTATTATTGTTATTATTATTTAATATAAGATGTATAACATAATTTAAAGAATTGTCAGCGAGAATTAAATGAAAAAGTTCCTACCTGGGCTCTTCAGGGGTTCTTTGACCATAAATTACCCTTTCTTTATGTACTACCAAGAATATGTACAGTTAAATATTTTAGGATAAAGAGTTGTAAATATTCTACAAATGACTCTGCAGGAGGTCTGTAGGCTGTAGCCATATTAACTTTTATAACAAATCAAACCTATTTACATAAAATAACTATTGTGGAATGTTGTTAGATTAGCACTGTCTATGTCAGGGGTCAAGCAACCTATGGCACGTGTCCCATGCATGGTACTAGAGCTGCCTTTGCATGACACTCAAGGCTGCCAGAAACAAACTGGCTCTGCACTGTCAGGAGTCCCAGTGTTACAGTGATTGCAGGTGAATATTTAAGTTTTCCTGACTGTGCCGTGTATGAAGAGTGTCCTGAAGTATTCTTCTTTAGATATAGCCTTGTCCTGATCAAACAGTACACAAAGCAAGTTCCTTATTTGACGTACTTTGCATATGCACTCAGCCAATGAAAGATCAGTGTGAGCTGGTTCATTTTACAGTCCATTACTGTTCTCGTAATATCTGCCCCTTTCCACCTAGATTAGAAATACTATACAGATTATTATTATTATTTATAAATCACCAACAAACTCAACAGCGCTGTACTATAGGTGGATTAACAGACATGCATTTGCAACAAGACGAGTTGGACACACAGGAATAGAAGGTGTTGAGGGCCCTGCTCAAATGAGCTTACATTCTAGAGGATTATAAAAGGACAGTGATTGGCTATGGGGCAGAGTCCAGTCAACAGCTCAGCTCACTCTGCTCTCTCATTGGCTTAGCTACATTGGTTATCTTCCAAACAGATTCATGGTTTTTTTTTTTAGCAAAACTAAAGAGTTTTGCACAAGGGAAAAATGCAACATAAATGTAAGACAATAACCTATTAAAATCTATCAAAAGCACTTACGTTGTATTGATGACCTGTGTTCCTTTTACCAGTACTCTGAAAAACTGAGGGCACTCCAAGAGTCTCAGTTTAGATACTGCTCCATAAAATAACAAAGGACCCCAACGAGTGCACTATAATGTTTAGCCTGGGCCATTTAAATTAGATTGAATTACACTGCTGTTATAGTTTTAGAATTATATCAAGTTTTGAAGCATTTATAGTCTACTGAGAAGTGCCATTTGAGCAGCAGACATGACTGCAGTCAGATTTTAGTGAATAACTATTAAAGATGAAATTTGTTTAAGGTATCAAACAAGCACTACATGCAACAGAAAGGTGTCCGGTGAAAATTCATTCTCCACAGAACTCATTGTGCAACATCAGGTGTGCCACATGAAAGGTAGATAACATTTTGTTCTCTGAATGATATCAATAACTTGTGAAACATTCATTTGTAAATCCTTGTTCGTGACACATTCACTATTCAGGCTGTTCAACAATTTCTTACAAATTGCATAAGATCTGTCAGTATTACATACAAACATGAATCAGGTAAACTCTGATTTCAATGGTTTTATATAAATAAAAAAGTTGTTTTTAAATTTAATGATAGTAACTAACTTTCACATTTTTTACAGGAAAAACAACTCATAGCTATCTTTTTCATATAATACTGTAAGTATTAGCAAATTTTTTTTTGTTATAGTTCATCAGTGGGTGTAGTGGGACATGATTGTACAGGGGGGACTTTTAAAATGAGCTCATTCTTAGAATACTTATATCAGCCATCGATATCTGCTGCAATGGGAAGATGGCCAACTCAGTCCAATATAATATTGCCCAGCAGTGCAAATCAGGACTTTCCATAAGTAATGAAATTGATACACAATGTTCACTGAGGCAGAGTTACTAGTCTAGATTAGAAAATTGAACCTACGTGTTGAAGGCTCGGCTGAAATGTTGTATGACTGGTAACTCTGAAGCAGGGTTACCAGTCGTACAACATTTTAGTCTTCTATGGTTAATGGAAAGTTAAAAGTAATATTAAATCAAAATCTAGACAAAATTATGTTAAAATAATTTTTTACATGGGAGGAATATGGGAGGTATAATCCATGGTTTGAAACTAATACAAGATACTGAGGTTAAAGAAAGATGGTAACCTCTTCACTGTTACTGCTGTTATATCTTGTCTCGGATAACAAGTGTCAGCTCTGAAAAGACTTCACAATTCTTACCATGGTCACCACTACATATGCCCATGATATCATCAATGTAGCACACCAATGTTCGAATATATACAAAAAAACTGAAAATAACAATAAGGGAAAACTGTGTAAAACTGTGAAAAATATATATATATATATAGTACCTGTATATAATTAACAAAAATCACAGGATATCAAGAAAAAAAAAATATATGTAGTGCAGTATAATCGGCACAGGGGTGGGGGAGGGGATGGTAGAGGACTCGCTGAATGGATGAGATATCAGGCATATCTCTCTCTCGAATGGGGTGAGGAAATGTGGACGTACAGTCTTC